GTCTCTTTTCCTTCATGCCACTTATAACTTAGAATCACATACTTAAGCGATTAATATCTCTATAGTCTGTCTGTTTTACAAAGAATGGGTTAAGGTTGTCAGATTGAGCAAATAAAAATGCAGGATATCCAGTGAAATTTGAAATTCCGATAAACAAGGAATGATTTTTTACTATAAGTATGCCACCCAATATTTGAGATTACTTATATTAAAAAAGTATTCACTGAGTCTGCTCACATTCACCAACACCCACTTTGGTGAGAAGGTGCATCCTTCCCCACCCCCACCTACCTATGTCTCCCCCTCTCAAGCGCCCACATGATTCACGTCTCCAGGCTGTTGCTACTCCCCCTCCTTTCTGCCCCGCCTTCCCTCACGGCCTCCCAAGTGCGATCTGTCTCTGCAGATCTGTCCTGAACCTTGGCACATACCGGAGCCCTTGGTGATATAACACCTTATCTAGTCTCATAGAGATTGCTTCTCCCCAAAGAACCTTATGTGCTGTTGGAGTCAAAGACCATGTTTTCTACCTGTTCTGGGCCCTCCAAAGTGGTTAGCATAAAGCAGTTGTTCAGTAAATATTTGTTAGCTACATTTAGCAAAAGAAACAGCAAAGTTGAGTTTCAGCTAAATATTCAGTCTCAAATTTCTTTGCATTTTGCCAAGAATGAAGCACCCATGCAGTCCTCATGGGCCTTAATTCTTCCCCCTGATCACTCTAAGAGAATTCAGCTCAAAGAAAAAATTAAAGTAATTTTCATATCACTCAACTGTCATATCTAATACTAATATTGACAGGAAATATCCATTCATTCCTATGTACTCAATTCAAATGTCAAATTTATAGAAAAGCGTGGTTTTCATTACTGGCATCAATGTTGATTCAGTTGTTTCATAGTTTTATTAAAAACCCCAGATGGAATGTAGCTGGGAAATGGGGCCAGCGTGTGTGGGGGTACACGTGCATATGCACGTGCCAGAGGTCTAAGAAGTCAGAATCGTCTGGTTAGCTCAATAATGACTGACTAATCGTTTTAACCCTCCTCTTCACAACAGACACTTATCTAATCCTCAAAATGGGGACTTTGGAGGAAAATTGTGTAAATGGAGAATTTTAAATAACTATTCCCTGTGTGCTGCATTTTCAGGAGTCACAACCGAATGAATACCTACAGAAAATATATCTGTACATGTCAAATTCTGCTCACTTAGAAGGAACTTGCTTTAGAGTATCACCGTGAGTGAAGAGATATGCGTAAGTTCATTTGAAGCACTTAGGACAGCACCTGGTGCATAACAAATATCAATTTAAGTATCATCTTCACCAAACCAGTAAAATTTGAAGAGCCTCCCCCTCCCCCAAAATCCAACCAAAAGTCCCCCACCAACTATTCCAAGGTTCTACTAACCGATCAAGAGAAATGAAGAGTACAGTCACAGAAATTAAGAATACAAGAAGTTAAGAATTCAATCAAGAGAAACTGAGAATAAAATATGACATCCTGGAGTGAGAGCAAAGTCATGCTAAATTTAAAAAGTCAGAATTCGGAGATAAACACCTCCTTTCCTAATCATGAGAAACTATTAGCTATTTACAGAAGAAACCCATCCCAAAAAGATTACCTATTTGCATTCCTTGGATAACCTGGAAAACACTAGAATGTTGGTAAATACAAGGGTATAGATTATGCAAGACCTTGAGCATCAAGGTGAGAATTGGAAACTTATTTTCCAGTCATAGCAACCAAACTGTACCCTGAGTAAAGTGGATAATAAATGAAGGAAGAGAAGCTAACCTAACTGTGTAGTCCTGCGACTGGAATAATGACCCGTCAGCAAACGTTAGCAAAAGTACAAAGCTCTGCAAGAAAGACAGATGCACAGAAACTACATTGCATGTTTCTATACCTAGAGAAAACACTCTGATGTGCAGATGTGAAATATTCCATTTCTGTCTTCTGCAGCCAAGGATCCTGGATTTTCTGGGACAAGCCTATAGAAAACATGCTAAGCTGTTGTTAGAACTAGTGAGAACACATACAAGGGTCAAGTTCCAAAAGTGAGTTACAACAATCATGTTGTATGGGCAAGGAGAGTTTGTGCGTCTGAGTTTTGTACCTCCTGGATTGCATGCATGTCTGTTACACTCATTTGATTCTTGTTACTCCAATTTGCCTAGCAACCTTCTGAGTAATAATTTTCTTGCCGAGGAGATTAGATAGATACAGAGTCTCTGGGGAGAAGCTTTATAAAGTAGGGTCCTCCGGGCTTGGTTAATGCGGATGAACTGACTCAGCGCTGGGTGAACCGGGCACCTGAGCTCCTGAACCTTCAGGACTGAATGCAGCCCACCCATCCTCTGAACTGCAGCATGAGCTTTGCTATGCCAGCAGCTCCCCACCACATAGGGGTCTTAACTCGTGTGGTTCAGGGACTGGCAAGCTGGAGCTGGAGACCTGCTCTGTAATGACTAAATAATGCTGTTTGGAACTTGTGTTTGAGGAACACTGGATTTCCAACTACTTTGCAGAACCCGGTTCCTGCATGACTGGTCCCCTCACTCCCTCTGTGAGGTTGCTGGATTTTCTGGTTCATTTATAACTCTGCCCTACCTTGCGCACAAATCATTCAACCTCTAAAGAAAAGAGTTTCCTCTCAAGGGCTTCTTTCTCCCTCTGAGGCACGCTGAGCATGTTGTCGGTTACAGCTCCCTTTAAACCCCCTGTTTGAATACAACACATTTTCAGTTTTAGAGGTAGCCCGTTTGGAAAACCCATAAAGCAGAGTGTTTTGATTTTTTGGTTTTTTTTTTGAGAGGGCATCTCTCATATTTATTGATCAAATGGTTGTTAACAGTTAACAACAATAAAATTCTGTACAGGGGACTCAATGCACAATCATTAATCCACCCCAAGTCTAATTCTCATCAGTCTCGGATCTTCTGAAGCACAATGAACAAGTTTTTACATGGTGTACAAATTCTTACATAGTGAATAAGTTCTTACATGGTGAACAGTACAAGGGCAGTCGTCACAGAAACTTCCGGTTTTGATCACGCATTATGAACTATAAACAATCAGGTCAAATATGAATATTTGTTTGATTTTTATACTTGATTTATATGTGAATCCCACATTTCTCCCTTATTATTATTATTATTATTATTTTTAATAAAATGCTGAAGTGGTAGGTAGATGCAAGATAAAGGTAGAAAACATAGTTTAGTGCTGTAAGAAAGCAAACGTAGATGATCAGGTGTGTGCCTATAAGCTAAGTATTAATCCAAGCTAGACAAGGGCAGCAAAACATCCACGGATGCAGAAGATTTCTCTCAAAGCAGGGGGTTGAGGTTCTAGGCCTCACCTCTGTTGATCCCCAATTTCTCACCTGATGGCTGTGCCTGTCTTAGGTTGTTTTTCCCTTGAGGAATCTTACCCGTCTCTGGCTAACCAGTCATCTTCCGGGGCCATACAGGGAGATGTAAAGTTGGTAAGTGAGAGAGAAGCCATATTGTTTGAAGAGGTTAGCTTTTTACTTCTTTGCAGATTTATGTCCTGTGGCTTCTATGCCCAGCATTTGTCTTGAGGTATCTTTACCACTTGGAGGAATTATGATACTCGGTAAATTCGATATGAAAAGCAAAGTGTTTTTTAACCCAGGATCGTGGCCCCTGAGGGTCTGCTGTTAAATTCTCTCAAGGGCCTAAGGGAAGTTTATGTGTGTATTTTGTTCTTATGTTTTTTTTAAAAAAAAGTAACACTGGATGACTAGCTCATAACTAAGGACTCCCACGGGATTTCAGCACTCATGTTGATCAGGGTTTGACAAACTACACAGCTTTCAAAACAAACCCAGTCTACGGCCTGCTTTACAAACAAACTTTTCTTTGGATGCAGCCATGCCCATTCATTTACTATTTTCTGTGGCTGCTTTCATGCTAAAATACCAGAATTGACTAGTTGCAACAGAGATACCAAGGCCCTCAAAACCTAAAATATTTACCAACTGGCTTTTTGCAGAAAAAGTTTGCTGACCTCTGACACATCATATATAAAATCATATTGAGCCTAGTTGCAGAATTTTCATTGTTTGGGCTTATGAGAAACCCAGGATGGGTCGTGCTCATGAGAAAGTCAAATGAAGCTGCGCTGAGAGCCGGCAGGAATGAAGCCTGCCAGTGGTTTGGACGGAGACAGGGGAGGAAGAATCCCTTACCCATTCCGTGGTGAGAGAGGGAGGGCCAGCTCCTGCAGTCAGTATCTTATTCTCTGAATGAGGAGAAATGTAACTTCAGCAAAACATCTTTTGTCCACTAAAGTTTAGTTAATTTTACTTTTATTGATTTTGTGATGTTTGATTTTTCTCTTGTCAATACAGTCGCATAAAAGCCATAAGTCTAATGATTAACCTATAGATGTAAAATCTACTTTTAGGTTTTATAGATATAAATAACAGTTTACTAAAAAATAGATTGTTAACACTGAGGGCCACGAGCAACCCTGACTAGGAGAGTATCACCCACACGGGCTGATGCGCGTACATGTGTAAGGCTTGCCAGGTATTTTTAATCTTGCATGAATAAAGGCGTTGTCATGTTTAGAGGCTTCTCTCTTAGGAACAGAGCAAAGGCTATCCTCAAGTCACATAGAAAGATCCACCGAAAGGTCCTGGGCTGTTTCCCTGGGCCCCCATTGTCTCACTCAGACACACCAGCCCACACCCTGTGCCCAGGGCAGGCGTTCTGACTTGGCCACAACCTCCAAAAGCCCTCAAGTCAATCACACATTCCAAATAAGCAACTTTCCTTAGAGGCAGCTTATCTAGAACGGGCATCTGTGATGCTGCGTCAAGCTGATAACAGGATGTTGAGGTTTGTAATAATCAGGATTCCTTCTCTCTCTAGATCTTTTTGGAAAAAGTCATGAGTACCCAATTACAAGAAACCCCATTTTCCCATTAAATAAACACATCCTATCAAAAGGGGAACAAGCCCAACTTACCTCTTGACACAAACGTGGAGATGAAGAAGAGATTCAGTCAGTGTTCTTCCGATGAAAAATCATGAGTTGATTGTTATTTCCCTGAAAGGAAACTCGTGCTTTAAGCTCAGGAAAATGGAGTCTAGTGGTTTCCAAGGTAGTGTCAACCAAACAGGTGTAACCTGATCATTTGTTTTGGCTCATAACTTGGAGGAGAATTCATGTGTCCCTGCTATTTACAATATACATTAAAGGACAGTTGGAACTAGACAAAGGAATTCAAAGCCACTCACATACACACGGTTCATGGAACGTCTCTTTTTACAAAACCTTGTCATCATCTACACAAAGAAGCTGGAACAATGACAGAGTGTGTTTCATCACTTTAAATGACTCTCCAAGATTATTTTCCAAAACCTATGTACAAAAAAGCCCAAAAGAACAATTTAAGTCAATCTTAAGATGAACTTACTTTAACTTCATATGCCTTATTCTTAGAAATCCCGAAAGTGAAAATGCATACTAAAAGTCACTTTCCCAACTCAAGAAGCATTGATAACAGGTATTTTCTGTTTATGACAAGCAGATGAGAGAGAGAGAGATAAGTGTTTTATCTTTGGGGGACCATTTCTAGGAGTGAGTTCAACTAAAATTAGAGATGTAAGAATGACATGAAATCATTTCGTTTTTGGAATAAGAGCTTAGAAACAATTTTGCAGTGGAAATATTAGATATCATGAAATTTAATGCCTTCATTTTAAAGATAAGAAAACAGAACCACAAAGGGCAGCCTGCCTCAGGTCCCAGATCCAGCATAGAAAATAGAGAAGAGAACTGGGGCTGAAACTTCCTGCCTTACACTGTGACAGCTGCCTGCAAGGGCCACGTGAACTTCCATGCACGTTCTCTCATAGGGTCTTAATGTTCACGACCTTTCAAGTTATTCCACATATTCACATATTCAATCCAAAATTCAAGAAGAGTACAGTTTATTTGAAAATTTATCAGCTTATACTGTTAATTACATTACTTGATAATTACTGGATAAACCTTCTCCATACCCAATAAAGCAAATTTTGTTTTGTTTTGTTTTGTTTTGTTTTTACAGAGATCCCAGCATTCCAGAATGGGTTACCCAGTTTCCAAAGGGTTATTAGAAGCCTGAGCATAAGCCTTGTCTCTAGAATTGATCATCTCTTCCAATTTCGACTCCTTTGTTTATAATTAGCACTTACTAAACTTTATATATGAACTTAAAACATTTGTCTGTGCTGAGACACTTTCTGCCAGGAACGGTTGGACTGACACCGTTTGTTGTTAGAGCGACCTTCGGGGGCCTTACTGAAGCCCTGGTGCTAATGACTCAGAGGTTCCCAGCCCTCCAATAACGTCAGCAGGAAGCAGTTGATGTTCAGCACGGCAGAGGCGCAATTTTCTAGACAAATATCCCTGCCCTCCAGGATCTTGCAGCACAATGAGGTAACAACTCCTCAATAAATGGCAGCTCTCATTATCTCTGCCTACTGAAAGCAAAACTGACCTTGGGTTATGAGATCTTGCAGCACCTTGAAGAGAAGCTAAGGGAGGGAGAAATCACCAGGAGAGGGATAACTAGGAGACGCTCTGCAGAACAGGTGGGATATGGTTGGAACTTTAGAGAACAAAAAGGCCAAACAAGGGTGTGTTCTGGGCAAAGTGCTTCTGCTGAACCCTCCACCTTCTCAGTTACACTCACAACTCTTTCTCTGCTTTTGACAAAGATTTAATTCTTCCATCTCCATTGTTTGTTTGGAAGAAACAAACATAATAAAGACTGTAAAAGAGAGTGGAGTATTATATTAGAAATAACACCACTCCGAAGTCAAAACTCTAAAGGTGAAGAGAAATAAGAGAAGAGAGACCTGGAAACAATATGAAATGAATACTGTGAACTTTCTTCTCTTCTGCTCCCTTAAGATTTGGATTTTGGTAGCTTTCCCTTTAGGATGAGAATGTGACCCCACAGGATGGCTGCAAGAGAGGCAGTGTCGGCCAGAGCCTTCGAATGTCCAGTGTGTCCCCCTGGATAAGCTGCACAAGGGCAGGGGCTGCAGGGGTTGCTCCATGAAGAAAGTCCACAGAGTCATGCTGAGTGCAGACACCATATAAAGAGACACAACCAAGGTCCTGAGGTCAACATTTCAGCTGGCAGCGATGTCAGAATGACAGGTGACTTGGGAGCCATCACACACAGAGCTCTGTGCTCCGATCTGGACTTGCGTTGTCTCTCTCAGTATCATGTCTCTCCCAGAGCGGATTGGGTTTCCTTCTAATCAGGTTAAACACAGTCGGAGCACTTTATGTTCTATCCTCAGTAGGATCTGACAAACTCAAGCAGGTCTAGACAACAGTGACCAGGGTAGAGATAATGTCTCTAAACACATCATAAAAAGGATCGGAGCAACTGGAAGTGTTTAGCCTGGAGGGGAAAAGTCCAAGGAAGTTTAATTACCAGAATTTGGTGTCAATTCTATTTCGGGATTTTTTTTGCAGTAGTAGAGATCCCTTGGACTCTGAGTTCAGACAAACCAGGGTTGGAATCCTGCACCTACTTCCCATTTAATTCTGGACCTTGCTTAAGACACTTGAGTTCTCTGAACCTCCATTTCCTTGTCCACAGAATGGGAAAGGCATGCCCTACCTCAGTGTCCTTAAAATGGCTAAATGAGGTAACAACTCCTCAATAAATGGCAGCTCTCATTATCTCTGCCTACTGAAAGCAAAACTGACCTTGGGTTATGAGATTTTTCTGACCAAAAGGTGGCACCAGAAATGAGAGAAGCATGCCTAGACTTGAAAAATAAAAAATTTTCCACAAAGCACAGAAAGAGAGGACTTGCCTCCACATCTCAGATTGATTGCTTCGGCGTACAATGTGTGAACACAAGATACCTACATGAAGAAGGAAGCACTGGTCTCTTTCAAACAAATTCTCACAGCGATTCTCAGTTATACCAGGAGCTTGTAGATTTGTAGCATCTAGAACAACTCCAGAAACACAATAAATGTTACTTAATAACAACTGATGTTTGTGGCATCAAGAGCTTTTGAGGTGCTACTTTCTGGTGAGGGTGCGTGGAAGGGCTCTGTGTCTTGAGCTTCTGCCTCTTATTCTGGTGCTGGAGGTGATTCATCCGTCTTCTGACTGATGTAGAGAACGATCGAGGAAAACTATTACTTGGGTGCAGAATATCCAAGGAAAGAAAGGAAGGTCACATTTTAGCACCATTTCTATACCTTAAATGACTTTTTAACATGTTTTCAGATAAAAATGTGAGCACTGTCTCCTTGATTTTAACCGTTCTTTTAATCACCCTATTCTGGAGCCAGTGGTGTGACAGAGCTTGCCTCATACCATGGCTGGCTGTGAGCCGAGCCATAGCTCCCAGCCCAGTCCTGATATCATGTCTCCTCCCGTGTCATTAGAAGAACTTGCATTTTCAGTATTTGCACTTCAAGCATTTTTTCTAATAATTTTCCATGGCCAATAAATGTTTGAGATACTGTTTTCCTGGGAAAAAGGAACTCACATACTACCTAGCATTACTGTAGCCCCCTTCAGAGTTTCACAGAACTTTAAGTTCATAGATGCATGTACTTCTAGTTCTAATTAATTTTTCATGTTGCATCAACAAAGGGTGTATTTTATTCATGAGCATTTTATGAATCTTTACTTAAGAAAATAAACCCACAGTATCAGAAAACATTTAGAGCCAACTGTTACATTCACAGTACCTACAGCATGACAGTTATAACACTTCTGTGACAGATAAGCCTAGGTTTTTATCTCCCTTCCCTTATTATTTGAATTTGCCTCTGCAAGCAAAACAATAATATGAATGGCTCTGTGTGCATTTAGATGTTAATGCAGATATTGGAGGAAAAAACAACAAATTTATCTCTTCTCCACCACTTTCAAGTTCTTGATCATTCGCATGACCCCCCCAAAATAATATTATTTTAATAGCTAAATTTTAGGTGGAGACATAAATGCAGGCAACAAAATCCCATTTCATACAGAAAATTTATATAAACTTATAAATGTAACCTGGATATTAATACTATGAAAAATCCTAATAGTCAGGGTTTCAGGGAGTTCCCAGGCTGGTGAACACATCCACATACCAAAAACTCAGAGCATTATGCTTAGTGAAAAAAAGCCAATATTGTATGATTCCATTTGTATGACATTATGAAGTCACAAAATTATGGAGATGGAGTGCAGGCAAATGGTTGCCAGGGGTTAGGGAAGTAGAAGAAGGGTGCAACATTAAAAGGAAGGCACAATGAGGTTCCTTCCTGGTGAGGGAACAGTTTTGTATCTTGTTTGTGGTGGTGGATATAAGAACCTATACATATAATCAAATGTCAGAGAATTCTACAATGACATTCAAAAAAATGAATGCATGCAAAAACTGGTGATATCTGTAGTCCAGTTAATTGTGTTGTGCCAGTCATTTCCTGGTTTTGATACTACACTATAGTTATATAGAAGGTCATCTTTGCTGGGGAGGCTGTGTGATAGATACATGGAATCTCTCTGTATTATTCTTGAAACTGCTTGTGAATCCACAATTTTTTTAAGTGTAGAAATTGGCATATGAAAATGGAATAGTCATCAAGGAAATAGAATTAAATCACAATGAGCCACTACACATGCACCAGAATAGCTAATATTAGAAAGACTGAAAATGTCAACTATTGGTGTGAATGTATAGCAACTGAGATTCTCATGATTTGCTGGTAAGAGTATAAGCTTGTGCAATCATTTTGGGAAACTATTAAATTTATTAAAATTAAACATACACCCACTGATGATTCAGCAATTCTGACCCCAAGTGTACACATATGTGTATCAAAATATAATAATGTTCATAATGGCACTAATCATAATAGTCTCAAACTGGAAATTCCCTAATGCCCATCAACATAAGAATGGGTAAATAAATTGTGTATATTCATGTTGTCAACCTCCTCACAAAGACCACCAGAAAAATCTGTCTCTAAAAGGGGGAGTTAGAGAAGGGTATTTGTAGCTTGAATTCTGGACTCAAGTTTATAGTAGGTGTTTCCAGGTAGGGAACTGGT